ACAAGAATATGTGTAAATTTCAGTGGAACTTTGAAATAAAAACACTATAAATTAGGAAATGAACAAAAATGATTGAAGGGAAAATCGCATTCTATTCATTAACTCAAAGAAAGAAATGAATGATTACACAAGAAGAGCACATACGCTAAATACACATGGAAGGAACAAAAGAATATTCTAGCCTAACCAATTCTGTACATTCAGCCAAAGAAAGAATTACACCACACTAATCTGTTATAACTGCAATAGATAGCTAGTCTTGTGTATAAGAAATGGCATTCTGCGTTTCTGGACTTAAATGGGTAGCTACCAATGAAAATGGGTCACATAATAGATCTGTTACTGATGCCAGTGCTGTGGATCCATGGGGCTTGATGGACTTATTCTACAAGAGCCCCTCACAAGACGGAGAATAGATGTTAACCATTCCTATCTTGGACATATGAGCAAAAAGAAGAGAGGAAGGTAAAGCTTGAGTAAGCAAATCTGCAGGTTGAAATTGTGTTATAACATGTTTAGTGATGATAGAGATTCTTGAATCTTATCTCGTACAATATGACAAACCAACTCAATGTGTTTTGTGCGTTCATGAAACACTGAGTTGGCTGAAATATGTAAGGTAGCTTAGTTGTTGCAATGTTATACAACTGGTTGAATATGAGAAATCTAGAGATCAATAAGAAGATATTTCATCCAGGTGATTTTACAACAAATGCTAGACATGGCTCTGTACTCGGCTTCTGTAGATGATCGAGAAACAATGGTCCGTTTCTTTGAGCGCCATGAGATTAAGGACTATCCTTGTAGGATGCAATAATCTATTACTGATCTCCTTGAGTCAGGACATGAAGCCCAACTGGAATCACAGAAGCTGGCAAAGTCAGCGAAGAGGAAGAGGGAAATAAAATCCCTCGGCTAGGAGCATTTTCAAATAGGGGAAATTGTTGTTTGCAGCTTGAAGATGTGGAAGCATTGGTGAATCCATGAATTGACTTAAGTTGTACACTGCATAACTTACGTCTGGTTTGGTGATAGTAAGGTGGAGCAAATGCCCTACCAGCCTGCAATACATAGAAGGATCAGTAAGAGGCTCCGCTGTAGTTTTGCTTAGAGTCAACTTAGGATCCATTAGAAGCTTCAACGGCTTAACACCAAGGGCACTCATGTCAGCTCGGATGCCAATAGCATATTTTCTTTGACAACTATGTATTCCCTGGTCTGATCGAGCCACTTCTATGCCAAGAAAATATTTAAAAACACCAAGTGTTTTAATTTTAAATTGATCACTTAGAAAAGCTTGTAAAGCATGAATAAAGTCCATCGAAGTACTTGCCACGATAATGCCATCTATATAAACTAAGAGAGTAGTGAATGTAGAGTCTTTAACTTGAGTAAAGAGGCTATAATCTGCCTTTGATTGAACAAAATCAAACTAAATCAACAAACTTGAAAATTTTGCATACCATTGTCTTGAGGCTTGTTTCAAGCCATAAAAACTTTTATTCAACCTACAAACTTGTTTTTGTTTCCCTTTTGTTTAGCCTAGTAATCTTTTCATATATACTTCCTAATTTAAATCACCATGGAGAAAGGCATTATTGACATCAAACTGATACTAGTGCCAACCCTTAATGACTGCAATGACCAAAAGATACCTAATGGTAACCAATTCAGTTATGAGGGAAAAAGTTTCATGGCAATCTATTCCTTCTTGTTGTGTAAATCCCTTGGCTACCAACCTCGCTTTGTATCTTTCGACACTACCATCAGCATCATAATTGATTTTGTAGACCCACCTACAACCCAATGCCTCTTTGCCAGGTGATAAGTTAGTGAGCGTCCAAGTGTTATTGATTTCAAGAGCCATCAGTTCATTATCCATATCTTTAACCCAATGGGAACTCTTTACAGCTTCACTGTAGCTAGCAGGTTCAACATTAGTAGAAATGGATGAAGTAAAAGCTGTATAACTAGGTGACAATCTGTGATATGAAAGTGTGTATGAAAGTGGAAAGACAGTACCTGAAGTTTGTCCCTTGAGCCTTAACAATGAAAGAAAAGAAATGGTGGAGTTGGTTCGTACAGTTTCTGTAGTGACATCTTGTTTGCAATGAAAATCTTGTAAATAGTGAGGAACATTTCTAGTCCTACATGATCTGTGAAGGGATGGTTCAGCAAGCCCAATAGTTGAAGGTTCTGTTTGGGGAGAAGATGTAGGGCTAGAGTAAGAAGCAGGAGAATCGGTTGAGTGAATTTCTTGCAACCTTGTGAGAGAGTGGAAGTAAAGCCTAAGCAACCAAACACTTTCATATGACTATATTGAGGCTTGGTACCAAAAAAATTTTCAAAAGGACTCTTGTTTTGCAATAATGGAGTAGGAGTACAATTTATGATATAGGTAGCTGTGAGGATACATTCCGACCAAAATTTGATAGAAACGCCAGATTGGAACAATAAAGCTCGTGTTAGATTAAGCAAATGTTTAATTTTCCTTTCAGTGACTCCATTTTGTTGTGGAGTTTCAACACATGTTTTTGATGAATAATTCCCTTTTCAGAATAAAAATCAATAAGGTGAAACTCTGTTCCATTGTCACTCCGAAGTACTTTTATCTTGGTCCCAACTGATTTTCAACTAAGTTGACAAAAGACACAAAGCATTTCTTTGTATCTGATATGTGTTTGAGCATGTACACCCATGTACTATGTGACAAGCCATCAATAATGGATAAGAAACATGAAGAGCCGTCATGTGTGGTGACAGATCACAGTGAATTAAATCAAACAAATTATTTGATTTGTGCTCACTCAAGGAAATGAGGATTTGTGTTGCTTAGCCAAATAACAGATGGAGCAAGGAAGAGAAATTTGTGATTTCAAGTTTAAAGATGCAGTTACAAGAGAGTCTTTTATGAGCCTAAGTCTAGCATTTGAAATATGGCCCAAACGATAGTACCACAAATCATGCTCAATGAGTTTGTTGATTACAAAAGCTAAAGAAAAATATAAATTGCAAGAAAATTGAGAGACTGCATGTTGGATAGCTTTAGGGGAGACCTCGTCGGGATGCAAATAGTATAAACTACGCTCTATTTTACCCTTCCCAATCGTTGTACAGGATACAAGGTCCTGAATAAAACAACAGTCAGAGAAAAAATCAATGAAATTGGTCAACAAGTTTCTTGGCTGAAAGCAAATTAAAACTAAAGGACGGTAGGCATAAAACATCTTGTTAGGTGTTGGAGTCAGTGACTTGAACATCACCTATATGAGTAACTAAAGAAGTGTCAATAATTTAACATAATACGACACCTTGGTAGGAGAAGTGTTGTAGTAAGATGGATTACAGATTGTATGATTTGTAGCCCCAGTATCTATTAGCCAAGTGAAAGAGTGTGTAATTGAAGAATGAAAATTAGGGATAGCTACACAACGATGAATACCAGACATAGGAGTAGATTGAGAGTTAGAAGAACGACTAGGAATCAGAGATTGAAATCTGGTTAGCCACATGTGAAGTTGTAAGAGAGTCCTTGTGTTTAAGCAAAACCATGGGGTCATTGTACTGATATTTGGTCAAAGAAAATCTGTCACAATTATCATCCCCATTAATGTTCATGCTCTAAACAGAAACATGATTAGCAAATTTTCCAGTTCCCTTGGACTTCTTGTTCATTTTATGATTTACTGGGTAGCCATGTAATTTATAACATCTGTCTACCATGTGTCCTGTCATATGGCAATGGCTGCGAATTGGGGCCTCTGCATTACTAGCTTTAAAACATCTTCAAAGGGATGACCAAGGATCTTGCAAAGTTTGTAGTATGGCCTTTCTTTATTGGGACTAGTGTTTTGTTGGTTTTAAGGTTTAAAATTGGAATTGGTGTCTCTGGTGTAAAGGGCAACAGAGTCAGAACCAGCAGTAGTGGAGGTAATTTGTCGCTACCTTTCCTGCTACTAAACATATGAGAAGACTTTATTAACATGGGGAAGTGGCTAAAAAAGCATGATTTGGTCTCGGGTATGCTCATATACATCATTGAGGTCCATCGGAAATTGAAAAATGCAGTCCCTATAATATCTGTCAACCAGAGCGTTAAGTTTTCCACAATGGCAATTTGAAATTTGGTCATTAAAGTAAGTTCATCCCAAATACTCTTTAGTTTACCATAAAAAAATTCTAATAGAATCTCCCTCCTGAAATAAGTTTACCAGTGCCCTTTTGAGTTGGTAAATACGTGGAGCATCCGTAGAGAGAAGCCTTCAGCCAATTCATCCCAAATTTCAGAGGCATCGTCCATGAAGGCAACACTAGACCGAAGGTCTGGACTGATAGCATTATGAATCCAAGAAACCACCATGTCATTGCACCTTGCCCAATCTTCAAGCAAATCATCTACTGAACTGAGAGGATTAGAAATTGTTCCATTGATGAAGCCAAGCTTGTTCTTGGCTAACGGCACGCTACATCGAGCGTGACCAGGTTTCACGGGGTACCTTTCTTCTTGGCACAGAAAGGGACACCGTGCGGCAGTAGTCTGCTCCGCTAGACTACCTTCCGGCTTGCCCAATCTTCAAGCAAATCATCTACTGAACTGAGAGGATTGGAAATTGTTCCATTGATGAAGCCAAGCTTGTTCTTGGCTAACGGCACGCTACATCGAGCGTGACCAGGTTTCATAATTGTTTGCAGTCAACAAATTAGAAACAAGATTTGTTCCTAGGTTGTCAGATGTCTCAAGACAAAAAAGGTTGAGTGGATCTGCAAAATTGGTATGTTGGTTAGTCTTTGATTGAAGAAGGGGAGATGTATTCTCAAGGGAAATGGAAGATGTATTATCAAGAGGAGTCTCAATAGGAGGTGAAGATGTATTCTCAAGACTCGCCATTAATGCTCTGATACCATGTAAATGTCAGTGAAACACTGGAATGAAAACACTAGAAATTAGGAAATGAACAAAAATGATTGAAGGGAAAATCTCATTTTATTCATCAACTACCACAGAAAAAAAAATGAATAATTACATAAGAAGAGCATCTAAAGCTCTGTACATATGGAAGGAACAAAAGAATATTTTAGCCTAACCAATTCTATACATTTAGCCAAAGAAAGAATTAGACATCACACTAATCTGTTATAATTGTCATAGATAGCTAGTCTTGCGTATCAGAAATGGCCTTCTGCATATCTGGACTTAAATGGGCAGCTGCTGATGAGAATGGGCCACATAACAGATCTGTTATTGATGCTAGTGCTGTGGATCCATTGGGCTTGATGGACTTCTCATTCTGCAGGAATATGAAAATAGGTTAAATCTCTTCACTAACCAATGTGTTGACATACTGCATCCTCGTGTGAATATCAAGTCAATTCTTATAGTCAACTTCCATAGTATACAGTTATACGGGTGTGCTACATGTACATAATGGTTTACATACACGTAAGGCAGCAGGATATGATTGGGTAAAAATTTCTTCAACTAAATAAAAATAATAATAATAATAACAAATAAATTGTTTCTCCACTCTCTTTTGGACACCTCATTTATATGTAAACAATTATGTAACTTTATTATGTACAAGTAACATTATTCACAGTTATAGATTGCTCAAAAGACGGTTTCAGTTCCCTGTAGTTGTATGATGTTTCGGTTTGTTGGAATTTTGTGTAGCCATTCACTAAGTGCGCTCGATTATTGTAATATAAAGATAGTACGTAGTCGATGTCTTCAAGCGTCGGACCTGTAATGCGATATACCGGGTCTGTTGTAGCTTAGAGATGTACCCAAGTCAGTTGTAGTGTAGCAGCTTGAAACAGTTGAATTGTATAACGTGAAATTGGTAGGCAGGACAAAGCTAACTTCCACTGTAAAACAAGGTGTCACTGCTCCAACTGTAAAAAGTCAAGACTCCCACTCTCACCAAAATTCTAAAGCTTCAATACTATTGGAGTAGAATTGGAAACCTGAGTTCGCTCATTAGTGTTTGTTTTCCAGTATATCCGGCACATTTCAAGTTAACATTTTGGAAGAGAGAGGCCGAGAAAGATTCTGAAATTACCACATATGTATGAACTTGAATACAGGAAGAGTAACAGAACAACACAAAGAACCATATATAGATTCTGAAAGTAAACAATAAAAGTATTTTTCAAGAAGCAGTTTATTGTTTTCAATCTGCCCTTGCGGAAAAAATCAGTTCCGTGTTCCATATGCCGTATGCTAAACCTCAAAATAAACATCAAACATCATATATGGACAAAACAAACAGTTGGGGGGGGAAATTCAACTCCAAGATATCAGTCATCACCTGTAATTTTGAATTCCAAATTATGCTCCGCCCAGAAACTGTTCAGTATTCGGAGGACCCAGCTACAAGATTCAACAAATCAAAAATCTCCTCACACACCTTAAGAAAGCAGATCTCGACCCACTTCGGGTTGAGTATGCTACACTGACTACCTGGATAAGACGTTTTTCATCATTTGGGCAATTTATATATACCAGCACGGAATTTCAGGTGCATTTTCTCATTCATTTTATGCTATTTCAGCACTTCGGAGATGCCTATCATTTCCAATCGGCTCCCAGATTCCTGAATGCGAGGCTCGTCTCTTGGTCTTAAAACTTCTACCTTTTTTCTTCTGCCCCTTGCGACTGGAAAGCATCACAGACATTACTGTGATAAATACAAAGATCGAAAATGCCCAAAGGCCAATTATCCAGAATCTCATGGAAGTGAATGTTTCCTTTGCCATAGCCGGCTGCGATAATTCCCGAGATTTGTTCTTTAGATCAGGACTGCGAATTAAGGTACTAATTTCCTCAATCTTTCCAAATTTCCTTGAAGTCGTAACCTCACTGGCTGTTTCTTGATTTGGAGGAGACAACAATATGGAATCAGGACTCTCTCGAACTGGAGAGGAGATGGAAGTGGGATCAGGGCATTTCTTCTTCTCGTGATGTAGGCGTAGAGCTTCATTCAGTGCATTTCCACATTCTATGCTTAGCAAATCACGCTGTAATGCATTCTCATCGGTTCGATCGAGGGTTGATGGATCAGGAGGTTCAGGAAACTTAGCCCAACATTTGTTAACCAAATCAGCGCTTCTCCATTTTGCTTTATCAAAGCTCCAGTTTCCAACGCTAAATTCCAAGCCATAGTGGAATACTCTATACTTCACACCAGGTGCAGGAACATATCCCGGATATATCAAAATTTCGTTGCTAATGATGTGATGCAAATTCAGCTGCATGGAATTTAAAAAAATAATAATAATAAAATAAAATAAAATAATATTTGAAAATTATGTTTCAACATGCTGATGTAGCAGAAACTTAATGCATGTATAAAAAACATTGAGAAATAAATTAACCTGTTCCCTCAGCTATTCTGCAAATTCAAATGAGATAGAAAGTGTTTTAACACTTTAATCAGTTATGAAATACCTCTGCTGCGCCAAACGAGTAACCATACATCTCGCTGATCCATCCAGATTCATACACGTCCCCGGTTATGTTTCTTGACCAATGAGCCGTGTCAGCCCGGACCTCCTCGGTTTTATGCAACCACAGTAGAGCAAATCTCCTGAGGTCATTTATATGCATTATGATCACACCTCCAACCTTGTTGCAAGCATCTGGATGACGGGTGTGCATCTTTGCAAGGTCATTGTCACAGCCAATCAAGTAGCTGGAATGAATATAACAGAGTGATTAGAACGCATATTTCCTGATTCAGTCAAAAAGAAGATTCACCCAAATTGCAAATTATTTGTTAGATACTCTTACACAGAAATGAAAGAGATAATAAAGCACGTGTTTGGATAACTCACTTTTTTCTTACTTTTGAATTAAACAAAAAAAAAAAAAAAAAAAAAAAAAATTGAATTAAAAAAAAAAAAAAAAAAAAAACTATTTACTTCGAAAGTAATTCTTAATTGCACTCGAGACTACTTTGTCAAAAAATAATTTACTTTTAACTTTTTAAGCTTAGCCAAACATACTCGTTAAAGTTCTTTTTTCTTACTCATAGGGAGTGGAAACAGGTCTCCCACGGGCTGCATTGAATTCCCATGGTGTGATCGGACCTCTAATTATCATGTCAGCATCAAGGATTACTATATACTCCGCATCTATTTTTGCATGATTGAGCCAATGAAGAACAGCAGCTGGCTTATTAATTGCTGGATACCTGAATTGCCACAAACAAAACGCAGGTGTTATTAGTTGCCAAGTTCTTTATCATAACATCTACTCTACTTGCTTATCTAGTTCCTGCCTTAAAAAATTGAACATCGTGTTTTTCTTCAAAAAGTTAAAACATATAAAAACAGAAATCAAGCTTCATAAAACTCAAGTTGATCCACACCTAATTTGAGGTAAGTTCGAAAAGCTTGCATGATAGCTCAACTTGTTTGCATCCCCATGAAGAGGTATATAAGATAAATTAAATTATCCTTCTTTTTTCTTGAACTGAGTAGGAAATGTGGATTAGGTTATATGGCCAACACGGGTCCTCTGACTTTTCCATGAGATTCTTATTTATAATGTTTTTCATTTTGAGGATCATGAAGAGGTGCCCATGTTCATTCAAAATCTATCACAAGCACTCAAGTGAGTGTATAAGAACTTATAAATATTGTGAGCTTTCAAGACGATATAGAGTTCACTCTAATTCACTAAAAATATGCAATTTTCCTTCATTGGTATTAATATAATAGTCATATCCATGTCATCTGCCAGCTGTTTAGAGTTGTCATATTGATTTAACTTTATATCATATCACATTTTATATATCTTCTATTGGTTACAAAGAAATGATATTTATTTCTACTTAATTAACAAAAGAAACATATGCATCATAAGTATAAAAATCATCAAGAAATTAAATACTAGCTTTTCATCTTCACTATCCATCTCTTTTTCAAAAAGTCCCATACCTACCACAGTAGGAATTAAGAAATATTAAAAACCAAAAGCCTGTGATCCAAAAAAAAAAAAAAAAAAAAAAAATTGAAGAGAGAGAGAGTTTACTTCCAATTCATTATAGAAACCAGAATCTCATAACTTCATTAGTTTCATTCTGCAATTTCCACAATATTCAAGGAAAATTTTATTTAAAAAAGAAGACACTTCTTGACCAGCAATCTTGTTTTCCCTGGGACTTTGCTTCTGAAGATGGCCTTGAAATGAAGGCGTCAACAATCCACCCAATTTCAGTCACATGTCTGCACTATCGCCATCATATATTTCAACCCTCGTCTCCTCCTCCTCTCCATCGGTACCCTTAGGGTGTGTGTGTGTTTGGTATGGTACTAGACCGCACTAGACAATACTATATAAAATTATAACTTTTGTTTCCTTTCTTCAATTATGCCCAATTCTGTCTAGTTCACCTTAATGAATGCACCATTAAAATTCAGAGTTAACTCTAGCATCAGACCTAATCCCACAAAATCTTCTCCAGGACACAACCATGCTTCTTTTCTCTCAACAATCATACATCACCATATTACCACTGAAACTATGCCTTGCCAGAAATTCCAAAATAATTGAGCATTCCACTGTTTCTATGGTTAAGTGATCTTGTAGTGGTTAGACATAATTTTATTTACTGAAAGATACTGAAAATAGTTTTACTCCATGAGTTCAGGAGTGATTTCCAGCTACTCATGGATATAAAAGAGAAGCAGAGATACATAGAAGGTTTGGTAATGAAGACACAACGTGCATTAAAGAACGCAAGATGCCTTTGAAGGAGGTCAGTCTGTTAAAACAGAGACGTGATGACACTGAAAATTATAAGAGAGGAGAAAAGTTCTTCATTCTTTTATTATTATTATTTCTTGAGACCCCTCCACTCCCAAGGCTAAGTAATCTAGTAGTTCCGCAAAAATAATTATGTGGCATAATTTGGAACATATATGTCAATGCTCCCAAAACTTGACAAAATTGATTAAGAATTTCAGCAAAAGCAATAGACATTACCAATCACCAGTTAGAGGATGTCGACTCATGGATGGAACATAATGTGTGGGAGCTAAATCATGGCCTTTATACTGCTTCAGATCTTCTTCCGTACAACTAAGAAGTCTCGTGATATTTCCAGGTTGGCCACTCAGGTGAAAACTGTGAACCAGCCCCACAGTCTGCCAATCAAAGTAAGGGGAGCATTCTGTTGAGAAAATGGTATGGATTTTTGGATATGGCGTTCCAGGATCATTAGCTTGTTCTTGTGTTTGCGTATGCTCAACCTCCATCATTTGAAGACTTTTAGGTGTCACTGATCTTGGCTGAGATAGTTCAGCAAACGTTTTACTCTTCAAAAAACTCAAGTATTTTGACCACTTCGGCTTGGGACACCCATATGCAGCATGTTGCAATAGAAGACCTTCATTCAGGGTATTGATACATTCTAGATTTAGAAATAGTGCTCTCCTTTTGTTTGGATCTGTTTCCATTCCTTGTACCTGCACACCAGGGTACATCATATATTACTATTATTATTATCTTGAATTTCAGTTTGGAAAAGATACAAATATTAACTCATCAGATCATACTCAACCAAGCGTGTTTGGCTAAGCTTACAAGGATTAAAGGTAACTTTTAATTCTCAGACAGGTTTAAATAAGTTACTTCTTACTTTACAGTAAAAATGTTACTTGCTTTAACAGTGATTCTTAATTTACAGTTAAAATAAGTTCTTACAATTTTGATCAATAAAAATGTTGCTTGATTGTTAACTTATAAGTAAATTTTTAAGCTTTGCTGTACAAGCTCACATAGTCACAAATAAACAAGGTATAGCATTTGGTGGACATCAAATTCTCCTTTAGCATTAGTATTTCAAACAAAACATCCTATGAAATCAAATAGTTTCTCCAGAAGCACACACATAAGTTCCAAAGATCGATCTAACATTGCATAAGTTATTACGATGTGTTTATTCCAACACCTGTGCTGTTTGCTGATGTCTGAACAAAGAAGACTAGCTAATATCATTTGTCATTATGTTTGGTTTATTTCTTTGCAGAAGATGTTCGGACCCCAAAAATTGCAAGGGTGGCATAGTCACTTTGCTTACCAAAACCAAAATTGAATTATTATAATGTCATAACTATCATATGCGTGCCTTCACATTAAAAAGGAAAGTATTTTTATCCATTAATTTGAAGTTTTTCAAACTTCCCTGAAAAGCAAGGTGGGAAATTTGGGCAGGCACCAGTATACTCCATGGAAATTTATTATCAGCATAAAACTCAACACCATAATGATCTATTGAATTTAAAATTCAATGTTTTTAGCCACAGTCGGACTGTCAACAAAATTCATTATTTTTAGCCGGAGATGCTAAGAGCTTTGATTTGGACAAATCAAAACCAAGGATTGGTGACTAATTCGTTGACAAATACCAGTAAGTAAGATTCAATACCGTAACTCATGGTCAAAAAAGAAAAAAGAAACATTCTGTAGAGAATAGTATTAGTTTTCTCAATATATCCTTTATAGTTGACTCCTTCAGAAATCAAGGAGTTGACCAAAAGGTAAAACCAAATTCATTTCTTGTAAGCTTTCATTTTAAATTTATGTTTTAACTGTAAGGATTTTCAGATTAGTGCAGAATTACATCATAAGCTAGGGTGTGGAAATGCTTAAATTACAGTCAAACGGCAGTTCCACCCAAGCAGGGAATAATAACAGAATGAGAATAATGAATGAAACTGAATATTATGCTGAAGACTCAATTTAAATATATAATGTATTTCAGCTTTCAGTTTTAGATGAGGTTTTCGACAAAATTTAAAAAAAAAAAAAAAAGGGCAAAATTCTTGGGTCAAATCTCCCAATCACCAATTAATGAAAATTGTGCGTGTCCACAAGTGAAATGGCATATTGAAGACTAAATCTTCTTAAACAATTGTGTCCATTCTCTCATAACTTAAACTTTTAGATGAAGTGGTTCACATATTATAGGCAAATCATCCATTTCAATAAGCACATTATGAGTTACCTCTCTAGGGTAAGGAGGTTCAGGAAAGAGCCGCCCACAGTCATAGACAATATTGTCCTCATGGTGTTCTAATTTACTGAATGACCAATTTCCAACACTAAAAGGCAAGCCATAGTGCATAAGAATGGGCTCAATGCCATCTCTTGGAATATATCCGGGGTAAATCATCAAGTTATCATTTATTTTGTGGCGAAGTCCCACCTGAAAAGGCAACAATTAGATACCGGATATATACAGCCAAAAAACAATAAACAAATCCATTTAAAGGTTGGGAGGCCAATGATGCAATATTACCCCCCCCAAAAAAAAAAAAATAAATAAATAAATAAATGGTGTGTGCTCAGGAGCACAGGGAAGGACAGAAAGCATAAGTTAAACTGATTTAACCAATTACCTCAGCAGCACCAAATGAGTATCCATACATTTCACTGATCCACCCTGTCCCATATATATCACCAGTATAATTGGTTCCCCAATGAGCTCTGTCCTCTCGTACTTCTTCTGTTTTTGACAGCCACATAGGTGCTAAAGCTCGGAGATCGTCTATATGCATGGCTAAAAGCCCACCAACCTTGTCACAGAGTTCAGGGTGCTTAGTGTGCAACTTAGCAAGATCATTGTCACATCCGATCAAGTATCTGGTGGAGAATTGTACATTTAATAATCTTGTGAAGAGGATTGTTATAATATAAGTAAGAGAAGTCAAGAAGTTATTTATTGATGCCTAGCAAACCTCAATCTGAAGACAAAATAGTTTTCTGGAGAACATTGATACAAACGTTGATATGCTCAGATATAACATTAGAAAATGCTAAAATTTCAACAGAAACTGAGTAAAATCTCAGCTTTGGAAATAAATTGACTTTTACATACCACATTTATCTACAACAGTTCTGGCTATATAGAAATATAGATACACCTTTCAACTCGACTCCAACTGCTGAACATCTTTGCAACTAAACTCTAGAATGTAAATGAAGACTGACCTATATGGAAAAACCCAGGTTCCTAGAATGAACATCATTCTATAGTTACTATCAAGATTCCAAAATGCGAGGCCTCTGTTTCTGAATACGCAAATTAAGTTCAATTATTTATGTCATTTCTCAAGAAAGCTTGAACAACCAAACAAAGAAAGCTTAACTTCTCAAGAAAAAAATAACAATTATTTATCTTCCACCCTATTTTTTCTGGACAAGTCCAAAATCCAAGAGAGTAGAAGGAAGTAGCTCCTGTAAGCCCTAGCTGCTTAGAAACGGAGCTTAAAAGTTACCAAGTGTAAATTGGTCCAGTGAAATTTACTTGTGGTATCATGTGTGGTTACCACTGGTTCTGATTGCATATAAGTATTCCAAAAAATAAGCAACAGATGCTTTCAATAATATATCAAGAGACAGAAATTATTCTGCATACTTATATTCCACTTCAAAGTCATTCGTCGGAAGCATTCAATATATATACCCCAATTGTAGGCAACAAAGTACAAATACAGCTATACAGGAATGGAAATCTATCTTTAACGAGCAAGAGAACAATTGAATTGTTCACACTAACGTAATGCGCCAAAAAGACTTAACCCGTAGTATGCAGCAACAGGCCTGCCTTTCTCGGCGCCAAGCTCCCATGGTATAATTGGACCCCGAATGATCATGTCTGCATCTAGAATTACTACCCAGTCGACATTTTGTGCTTCTTTGCTATGTTTAAGCCAGTGGAAAACGCCTGCAGGTTTATTAATTGCCGGATACCTGCAATGAACCAAATATAACATAAAATGATAAAGAAAAAATGCCCTCTTCATATCCCCTCAATAAAATTTTCAAGTAATCAAAATACTAGTAACTCAAAAGTAAAACACCTCATGGACAATTTCACTTATCATATCTATCAACAAACAAAACGAGAAGAATCCTAAACATGTCGAATAGGGGTTCCATTAACCTTGTTTAGATGGAAGTCAAGACTCAGTGAGCCTGAAACCGCAGAGCAATTCCACAAGTTTAAGACTCAAACGAGAAGTATATTCCAAGATTAACAAGCCACCCAGTACTCAATCAAAAACTCATGCATGCAAACGCAAAAATACATCATGGTGTATACTTACCAATCACCAGTTTTGGGGTGTGTGCTCATTGAGGGGACCTCAAAGGTAGGTGCCAACTCCATCCCTCTGTAACTCTTCTTCTCCTCTTCGGTACAGCTGAGTAATCGGGTTATGGGTCCAGGCTGTCGGGCCTTCCGGTAGCTATGCATGAGGCCAACCGTCTGCCAATCAAAGTAATTCTGGCACTCCACAGAGAAAAGCGTGTGGATCCTCCATGGCGCCTCCCGACCCGCCACCGCCGCCTCCTGGGCTATAACCCACGCGCTACCCATCACCATCGTCACCACTACCACCACCCCTAATACTGCAATTCTCTCAACTCCCATTTTTGCATATCCAAAAATTGTAATGGGTTTTGCTATGAAGATCTGAATGTCATGATTTAATCAAGGTCAAAAGCTATAATCTATTTAATTAATCGAGTTTTATCACCTGCTACGGATTGAATTAAAAATCGAACATGTTTTTTCAACTGTGATTTGTAATCTCTGTGATCTTTGATTAATTTATAAAAGTGAATGTGAATCAAAACTAAGCTAAAGTGATTCAAAATTAATCATAATTTGAGGTGAGATGTAATTTGCATTACTCTCTGTTTTATCGTTTGTTGGGAAGTAATGTTGACTTTTTTGAAGAACTATCAAAACGGCGTCGCTTCTTCGAAATTAATTACTTATCACGTTAAGAACAGTACATTGCGAGTTAATATAACTCAGTTCAGCAAAGTTGACAAAAAGAATCGAAATGGTTAATATGATCTTTTGGTCATTGAACTTTCAGCGAAATTTCAATTAGATCACCCAACTTTTATTGTTGTAATTGAACTTCAATATTTCTTCAATTCAATGTTAATCACTCCAAAAGCACATGTTACTAAACTTAATTGTCTTAACAAGCAAATCAATCATGTTTGCAAAATATTGAAATTGGAGACGTTTTGAATATACTATCAATTCTAAACACGTTTTATTTTCAAACATGTCAAATTGCAGTTAATTTGTAAGAACGACATATGATTACGATATTAAGCCCTTGTTTGAACTCCATTTTTTTATCAAAATACATTTTTCAACAGTAATTTAACCCCAATTTAACCATACATTTTTCAATGAAATAATATTACACGCAAATCCATAATTTTTCTTTACTATTTAATCATACATTGTCCATCAATACACTGTTCAAAAACGCATTTTTTCAACAAAAATGGAACTCAAACAAGGGCTAAGTTTAGTAATAGGGCTAACATATGAGACAAATTAAAATTTGAAGACTCAATTGAGATTTCAATTAAAGTTCAGAGATGACTAAGAAAATTAAAGCTAATATGTTATCATTAAAGTTGTTAGGTAAGGGTTAGGCATGCAGAGTAGAATTCGTGAAGGTAACGAGTTTGAGAAGCATTTTTTAGACAATAATTGGGTTAGACTAAGTGAAAACGTATGCTGAATTGTTGATGCCTTCGATTTTCATTCCCCAACTTTGTCTAACCAATTTAATGCACTCGACGAAAATTTTCGAGAACGACAGAAAGGTGAAAATCTAAAGATTTAAGAGGTGAATGTAATGAATATAGTATATAGTCATGGATATGAATTGCCAATAGTTGACCCTATCAAAAGTTCCAAGTGCTCGATTCTTATTCTCCATCGCGGAAGAGCTATATTCCTTTGAAAATTAATAATAAAAACGAGGCGACAATACTCGTGAAAATAAAAAAAAAACTAAGGTTTTCATTAGAGTTCATATAAGATGTACAACATTCGTTTCCCGATGGGATTGGCACATTTCAAAAGAAAAACCACTAACGCAATTACAGCTTGATTCTACTTTCAAATTGATGAATTAAGAGGGGTATATATGTGTGTGCGCGCGCGCAAGAAAATGTGAGGGAAGGGGGGAACCCAAAAGAGCAAACAAGAAAATGAAAGGCAGATGATCATGATGCTAAATGTACCGAAGAGATTCAAGGGAAAAATTATTCTTCTGCTTAAAAGCATGTTTGGCAAATCTACTTTCTTTCAAAGCAATTTTTTGACCTAAAATTCTCAAAAGAAAGTAACTTACAAGAAAGCTCAAACAAGTTTGGCACAAAAGTTACTTGCAAGTAACTTCTAAGCTTATATATATGCTCAAAGGACAACCAGATATATGGAGTAGGAGATCTACGAAATGGACCATATAAGTTGGAACTTATCAAGTTTAAGAAAGAATACAAATTCCAATAAGCTTCTTACCGGCAACCAGCATTGCTCCTCGTGGTTGGACGGCAACAGTTATGTGCTTAAATGGCTTTTTACGTGATAACTTTCCCCATCACTTCCTTCTTGGTGGATCCCGGCTCAGTCCGTGCTTCTTTAAAGTTCTGATGTAGTTTCTCATAAGAGTGAACTTGTTACACCCAAGATGATAGAAGTAATCCCATGTAAAGATCCCAGTCTTATGCAAGTCATCAAACAACAATCTACAACAGCCATCTCATAGAATCGTGATTATACCGTAATAGAACTCCTGGAACGCACAATACTCATCAATAAGATTATATTACCTCACTCCATAGTTCCCTACAGGTTCTGCAGACATGATTCCCACATTACGCCGCCCAGATATAACCTTTTTCCAAGGACAAACAGTATCTTAATCGCCAACAACCAAAAATGCATTTATCATCATATCATTTGGCGAATAGTTGATAATATAATCCATAGAGAAGATGGACAGGTAGCAATGAAAAACGTCCCAACTTCAAAACACATCTATGTTCTTTACATTTTTTGAACGTGACATATGGGGTAATCCTCAAAACTGTAAAGATTTTGCGATAGCTAATTACTGCAAGTGTGACTTCAAATTTTCTTTTACAATAGAACAATTTTACAATAAGTAGTCCTGAGAAAACGTGCTCTAAGGCAAATATTCACACCTAAAATGGATGTTACAGAAATGAAAATATTTCAATCCAATTACCTTTTCACCTCCAACTGATCTAATCTTACTGTCAACAGCTGGACTATATATTCTCAAATACTCAGCTGATAAAGTATACATACTGCCATTGTCATATTCCACCTCTACCTGAATACCAAAAAATAGCTAATGAGGTCACATCATCGTCACAGAAGCTAGGCATAACTCACAGTGGAAATTTGTTTCTTAGCACTTATCATTAATTAATTTGCTAAAATGCACCAAACGGTTCCCAAAATACTAAAGTTTCATTGAAGAAGCTCTTTATGCATATATTCATGTTTGAACTTCAGGTTCGAAATTCCAGATCATCAAAATTCAACTTCAACATTGAAATGGATGAAAAATATCATAACCAATCCTTGAAAGACCAGTTCAGTAATGGCAACTGCATAGAAATGATATTTTCGTGAGCCCCGAGGACTGACTTCAAAGTTTCCATTCGTAGAAAATTCAAAGTTATTCCTTGATTTTTCAGGCAATGTCGCATGAAAACTAGATGTCTAATACATGCAATTCTCTTACAATCTCATATCTATAATATCATCTTGGATGATGCAGCAGAATAAATTCTCCATCGAGCATAAACTACATGTGACCGTAAAATCACTTCACTCAGATGACAACCGCCAGAAAGCATCTCAATTTAAGATTTCAAGTACACAATTTTTACTTTATGTGCCAAACTACAGGACAAGCATACACGTAACAAACGGTCACAAGCAAACATGCAATAGATATTCTTTAAAGATTCTGTCCGGGCCAGAATAATGATGGTATTAAGTATTGATAATTACTGCATCCCCACCATGTTGGATAGAGGTGATATTTCAACGAAAAAAAATAATCTCAATCACTACCTAAGGCGTCTTGGACCTTCGTTCAGAGCATGTTAGGTAAGCTTTTAAAAAGATAACATATAAGTAAATAATAAGTTTTAAAGTGAATAACTTTTTATTGGTCAAAGTTGAAATAAGTTACTTATCTTGACTGACAACGATGTAAGAGTTACTGAAGAAAAAGTAACTTATTTTACTTAAAAGTAAAGAAAAATGTAAATTATCTAAACTCATAGAGAGCTTTTAATTTTCTTCATGCCAACCATGATCTTGGTCTGATTTACTCGAACTGTGTATATAGGCATGTCTGGTTGAGGTCTCTTCAAACTTTCAGTCCAGCAATATGGTAATCTGTTAACATAATAAAACCACCTCGCGCAGCTTTTAGAGCTGATTAGGACTAAATCATTACTAAAACTACAGAAGTTACATTTCTATTATAACAAAAATATGACATTTACATTCAAAATGAAAATTTTCACTGAAAATTATCCCTGTAAAACTCAGTATTCCGTTACTCGGCATTCCATTGCAACAAAAATCCAGGGAAACTCTATTTGACACAAGCATCAAGTTCTTTTCAATTGAAAGAAACCGCATTATGATACTTTAGAATCTCATAAATGGTCTAAATATCGTTTGATATTACTAATGCTGCATAACAAACATGTATTTAAGTAAATCAAAACTTTGAATTTAGGGTTTCGACTATTACTACATAAGCGTGAAATTAGCGAAAGAGAAGAGACCTACATTCTTCGGAGCTCGAAGGGAGAATCTTGTGAGACGAGGACAGTCCGGAACCGTCTGTATGCATCGAATCGCTCTCCGTATTCCCGCCATTCTTTTACCCTCTGTACTAACGCATGTGTAAATTTTCTTCTTCGGCGATGTGAAATGCGCTTTCAGGGGGAAGACGGTGACTACTGAAAAGCGATTTTAGCACAAACGTGAAAACTTTGGAACTTTTTTGTAGAAACACCAATAACGGTGAAAATATAATTAAAAATAATTTTATAGTTTGTTTAATTAAGTTGTTTGGTGTTTCTAAATAGTGCTTACAAACACTCTTACAAATTAAGTAAAAATTATGAAATAAAAATGCTGAACTTTACTATAGGGTGCTACTTGCACACCAACTTTCAAAAATTTACTTGTTACTCGCTGAATTTTGCTATAATTTACTATTTACTCACCTAAATTTAAAAGGTTACTCGTTACTCGTCCAAATTTGAACAAAATTACTAGTTGTTACTGAACTTTGATATAAGTAAGATTAATGGAAATGATATGGGTAATTGATAGGTAACTTTATTTAAATTTGGCTGAGTAATGAATAACATTTTAGATTTCAGTAAGTAAGTAGTAACATATAGTAAAGTTCAGTGAGCAAAGAGTAACTTTTAAATTTTGAGAAACAAATAGTAACCTAAAGTAAAGTTTAGTGACCGTTGATTAAATTAACTATACAAAAAATTATAAGCTATACCAATGCATGGGCTGATATAATATTGGTATGCATATTTGTTGAGCTTGTTAGAGAAGTAGTATGTCTTCTTCGGAACGATACCTATGGAACACATGAAGCACTCTAGTAATATTTATGTCAAAGGGTCAAACAACTCAATATCGGTATTATAAAGTTGGTTTTTCTTTTTGTAATATCAAATGGATGGAAATAATAGTGAAAATAGGATTCGTTGTAAATAATATGATTATTAATGAATGACAATTATATCTTTGCGCACTTATTTTTATTACATTGTATCCATACTTCTTCTATATAAATATAAAGTTTTGATTCTCAATAAAACGCATAAGTTTATTGACTTCTCTTTGATTTATAACATGTTAACAGCCCAAAATTTTAGCCAATTGATTTATTAAAATTATTCTTGTTTTTTATTTAACAGAAGTACGAAGTTATTATCGTTGATTTTATTCAAAAACTAATTTTTGGATTGAAGATTTACTTTATGAAATTGGTGGCACAATTTTTCAAATCATAAACATCTGCTCAACAACTGTTAACAGTTAAATGGCAATGATGATGCATGTGTTGGTGTTAATGACAGACGCGGAGACACTTCTGCGTGTTTGAGCTTTTTCAAGTTGTCTGGACGTTGACTCCAATTTGTAGGCTCAAAATATCTTGAACAAGCAAAAGAATTCAATTTTGGTAGCCTTGGCCTCCATTAATTTGATACTCGTGCAACGGATTATTAGCTCCATTATAGTGATTCTATATACTTTTACAGTAGGTTATTAGTTTTTTTGTTTAACGTTTGATTAATTATCACATTCTTATTTTTTTAATACATAGTATAATTTATGAATTTATTACTATTATATCTACCTATTATAAATTATTATTACTCCCGAAACAACACACTATTATGGACAAATATTCTAATTAAATTTTACTTCCTCTCGAAGAACATAATTAAATATGATCTAACTTAAATTATATTTTTGCTCCTAAAGCGTAAATATTTACATAATTTATATTTTAAATAAAATATATTACTGCTCCTGAAGAGTGTGATATTAAAATTTTCAATATTCCAAAATAATATTGATACATTGTCCTTGAAGAAATAATAGTAAGATCAACGTGCTCTCGAAGTAGCAAATATTTTGGAAAAATACATCATATATATAATTTATGAATGTGCGTTTATCCTTGAAAGAAAATATACAATTTATATCATGTGGATATTGGTTCTTATATGATTATAGCATAGTTAATCATATTTCGAGAATTAACTATGCTTTTTGTTTGATTGAATGGTTATTCAAATGACAAATATTATATTGAACGAGAAGTTCAATTATTGAATGTATTATTGTTTGGCATTACCAGTTGGACCATCACTGGATCAATAATGTTTTAACGAAAAACTAGAAGATGGTCATTGATCGCCGCTAGCTAAAGTATGGATTGAATTTCCTATATTTTAAAAAATTAATTGGGGTGATAAACGGGGTCCCGTCACCTTTATGTTGATCATTTAAACACTATTTGCATTTAATAAACTTGATACATCTGCTAGATGATTGCTTGATATTTGCAATATGAAGTTTGCATAATTACTTCTCAAAATTTAAATTATGGGCATAATTTTTCAGGTCATACAATCAAGATGGTGTGTCTTGTTAATACTAATGATTTTAAATTTCAACATTTTAATAAGTGATAGTTGGAATCTTAATAAATGGTTTAATATTATTACTTGTTAAATGCCTTTAATTTAATTTAGAGTAAAGTATGTCACTTTTCTGTTTAGCGAATGCTGTTACGCATCATGACAATATCATAGTTCTCCCCGTTATAACTTGACTCATGGTCAGAGCTTAATTTTTCCATCAAATTATTTTGATAGTGAAATATATATAAAAAAAATTGATCTACCACAATGCATTGAGATGGAAAAGTAAAAAATGCCAAGAACAAATGAATAGTTTGAAACTTCATCTCAAATAGATGATATTTTATAACAAGGTTTGCTGATTGTCAACTTAATTGGACAATTTTCCCAATATTAAAGGAAGGAATTAAGAAGTTGAAAATAACGTACAAACATATCATTATCTAAATCCTCACAATAAATAATTCGAACCAGAAGTTCAAAAAATAATTTATTTAGATGCATTTATTAACTAAAGAGATCAACAATATCTTATACACCAACTTAAATGTTCCAACTCGAATTAACGTCCTAAAGGACAATTAGTTAATATTATATTTTCATAAAATTATAGTACTTTTGAAGTGCGATTATATTCGATTTTAATATAAAAATCTTCAAGCGAAAATGGAACAATTAGTAAATATTGTAGCATATATTATACGAGTTTCAAAATAGCGAACTTCGTAAAAAACATGATGGATGAAATCATGAGTTCATATCACGTTGTCTTAACGAAGCATGAAATTTGAAATATATTATAGTTAACATATCTGACGTGACTATTATTGTTATCTATGAAGGATTTAATACGCCGAGAATATAATTCAAGTGATATTCTCCATGTGCATATTCTTGTTTAACATGATATAAATATAAAATAATATAAAATATCAACATTCTTAAATTTAGAACAAACTGATCGTGATATCCAATAGTTCAAGGAATTTCTTAAAAATTTCGATATCCAAAAGGATTTACATATTTAACCTAACAGTCTATTCCGGAAGTTTTAACATCAAAATCAACCCTAAGGCCTTAAAGTATTTCATATCAAAATTTATATAAGCATCAAGAAAATAAGAATTCATCACTTTTGCACTATTTATTCTTACCTTAATTGAGTAGTTTAAGAAATCCAAAAATTCAAATAATGATGTTGCATAATTTTCTCAACAGTGTACGTGTAAAGTGAAGTTGCAAAGAATGAAGTGGTGTAAATTTGTAAAGTGAAAATACTATTCTAGTTATGCATACATAAATGTAACGTCCATCAACCACTCAAACAAACATCAAACCGTGTCAAGTCATAATTGTATAAAAAAAAATAATAAATAAAATCAATGGTTAAATAAATTAATTTATTGCCTCCATCCACCAATCAAATGTCTATTTGATACATCTTCTTGATGAATATATGGTATTCACAACTTGAAGTTTGCGAAATTACTATTTAAATTTTAAATAATAAGCATAAATTTTAGGTTATACAATCAAAACGACATGTCTTGTTAATTCCAGTGAACTTAAATCTCAACGCTTTAATAATTATTCACTTGGATATTGATAAATGGTTTAATACTATTATTTGTTAGACGCTTTCGATTAATTTTTTTTATCATTACTAAGAGCAAAGTACTTCCTATTCCCATTTTACGGAATGCTATTACGCATCATATCAGCAGCATAGCCCTCCATGTTATAACTTTACTTATGATCAAAGCTTAATTTTTTCATCTAATTATTTTGATAGTGTACTATATGTAAAATTAATCCACTACAATATACTAAGATGGAAACTAAAGAATGTTGAAAATAAATGAGTAGTTTGAACATTTTATCTCAAATGGGTGATATTTTATAATGCGATTTATTGATTATTATTTCGATTAGATAATTTTCTCACTATTAGAGGGATGAATTAAGAGATTGAAAATAATGTACAAATGCACCATTATCTAAATTCTTACAATAAAATAATTCTAAGCAGAAGCTTGAAAAGTAATTTATTTAGATGCATTTACTAACTAAAGTAATCAACAATATTTCACACGCCAACTTTAAATTCTTCAACTTGAATTAACGTTCTAGAGGACAATTAGTTAATAATATAAATTTATAGCACTCTTGAAGCGTAATGATATTTGACTCTAATACAAAAGCATTGAAATGAAAATGGAGCAATTTGTAAAGATGATCCATTAAGGAAGCATATACTCTTGATGAGTATATAAACATAAAAAATTATAAAATCTCAGAAGAGGCTTATTGTCTGATATGCATGAGTGTTGTAAATATTATGATTAATAGTGGACAGCCATTATATTCCTGCAATCCTAATTTTTATTATTATTATATCATTAATTTGTTCCTATAAATATGGAACTTTGGTACTTAATATGATACACTTAAGTCTATTGACTTCTCTATCTTCTCTTTCTCTCTCTAGTTTATAACATTGTTTACTTTCACTTAAATTAAAATATTGATTTTAATTTTTACCAAATAGGGGTGTAATTATATAGATTTATGTAAGATAATAATGTGACTTTAATTGAGAGTTATTAAGGGATAATTGAAAATATTCTCTCTAATCTTATTACTTTCTAAAAAATTAATCAGTTATCTTTTTTTATCAACATTCTCTAACACCTTAAAATAGAAAATATGATCCAGCACATCCACGTGTGATTTTTCTAAAATAGATGAAGAATTTGGCTGAAGTTTCCTTTCCAACTTAATTTCTCCAAAATAAATGTTCCTTCCTTATCATCA